TTCTTTACCCACTGATAGTTATAATTTTCTGCCCACATATGTTAACAATTCTGCCTGCCCACTTCCAAAAATGCATTACCCACACCCACTCCCCACAATATTAAGTCAAGTTTTTCTCCCTCCCACTGATTAAATTAAATTTTGCCTGCCCACAGAAAAACGTTCGCGAACACCTTTTTGCACGAACAGCTTCCTTGACTGCACCTGAGATATGCGATCCCGACGTATAGAACCACTGGAATGTATGCTAGGTTGATGCTAACCCGACACCAGAATCACTGAACCAATGGAACCAATGGAATATATGCTAGCTCGACGCATTCCCGTGTGCCCAGGCGTCGAGCTAGCATATATTTCAGTGGTCTATGCGTCGGTCTATCATATATTTCAGTGGTCCTAGCTTGACGCCCGGGCACACTGAAATATATCATCATATCATACATAGTTTTTATAGCGCCTAATATCAAATGATGCCCAAAGACGCTAACAGTTCACAGGAATGCTTGATGAAACAGATGAGTTTTTAATCTAGATTTGAATGTGTTAACATTTGGTGCTGTGCGAATGTCATTTGGTAGATGATTCCATAGTGAAGGAGATGAATGAGGGAATGATCGGTCACCATATGGTTTAAGTCTGTTTTTTGGTACTTCGAGTAATTGTTTGTTGCTAGAGCGAAGAGTTTACCAGGATTACTTTGTTGTAAGCGATCAGAAATGTATGGTGAAGTCAACTGAGGTGGAGCTTTGTAAGTAATGGGGAGTATTTTTAATTTAATTCTGTAAGTGACTGGAAGCCAGTGCAACTGTTTGAATATCGGTGTTATTTGATCAGACGTTTTTGTGCGAGTAATAAGACGAGCAGCACTATTCTGGGCTCTTTGATGGCGCCAGGCCCACTGAAATATAGGCTAGCCTGACACCAGGACCACTGAAATATAGGATAGCCTGACACCAGAACCACTGAAATATAGGATAGCCTGGAACCTGGACCACTGAAATATAGGCTAACCTGGCGCCAGGACCACTGGAATATATGCTAGCCTGACGCCAGGATCACTGAAATATAGGCTAGCCTGACGCCAGGATCACTGAAATATAGGCTAGCCTGACGCCAGAACACACAAATAATGGCTAGTCTGACGCCAGGCCCACTGAAATATAGGATAGCCTGACACCAGGACCACTGAAATATAGGATAGCCTGGAACCTGGACCACTGAAATATAGGCTAACCTGGCGCCAGGACCACTGGAATATATGCTAGCCTGACGCCAGGATCACTGAAATATAGGCTAGTCTGACGCCAGGATCACTGAAATATAGGCTATCCTGACGCCAGAACACACAAATAATGGCTAGTCTGACGCCAGGATCACTGAAATATAGGATAGCCTGACACCAGGACTACTGAAGTATAGGCTAGCCTGACACGAAGACCACTGAAATATAGGCTAGCCTGACGCCAGAACACACAAATAATGGCTAGTCTGACGCCAGGATAACTGAAATATAGGCTAGCCTGACGCCAGGATAACTGAAATATGGGCTAGCCTGATGTCAGAACACTGAAATAATGGCTAGTCTGACGCCAGACGTCAACCCAGCCAAGACCACTGAAATATAGGCTAGCCTGACACCAAGACCACTGAAATATAGGCTAACCTGGCGCCAGGACCACTGGAATATATGCTAGCCTGACGCCAGGGTCACTGAAATATATGCCAGCCAAACGCCGAGACACTGAAATATATGCTAGCCCAATGCCCGGGCATGGCTAGACTGACACCACAACCACTGAAATATAGGATAGCCTGTGGCAGCAGCACTGAAATATACTAGTTTGCTAATCCGACACCAGAATCAATGAAATATAGGCTAGCCTGACGTCAGAACACAGAAATATAGGCTAGCCTGACGCCAGGGTCATTGAAATAAGATAGTCCGACGCCGGTTCACTAAAATATAGGCTAGCCCGACGCCAAGACCACTGAAATCATGGGTGGATTTAGAGGGGGCCGAAGGGGCCGAGGCCCCCCATTTTTAACAACCAACTGGGCTTCGCGCCATCGGCGCTCGCGCACTTGGCCTTCGGCCAACCTATCGCCCCCCCCCCCCCCCATTCCTGAATCCTAGATCCGCCCCTGAAAATATATGCTAGCTCGACGCCATGGCACACTAGGCTGAAATATAGGCTAGCCCGACGCCAAGACCACTGACCTATATGCTAGCCAAACACCAAGACCACTGAACTATATGCTAGCTCGACGTCTGGGCGCACCGAACGATATGATAGCCAAACGCCACGACACTGAACTATATGCTAACCTGACACAAGGACCACTGAAATGTATGTCAGCCTGACGCAATGACCATTGAAGGCCATTGAAATATACAAGAATAATTAATATCAATGTCTAAAACACAACCGTGATAGGAATAATAGGGGTAAGTCTGGGAGTAAGTACGATGCCGTGAGTAGAAGAAGTAAAAGTAGTGTTTACGCAACACGATGTAGGGGCTAAGATTTTAGCTAATCTCATATGTTTGCATATAAATAAGAATGTAAAAAGTAAATGGTTTACAAGTGTAGAAACCCTCATGCAAGATTTAGATGTTGTCACCATTGTAAACTCAAGTGAAAAAATAATTAAGAAAAATTTAGACTTTATTCATAAAAAAAAATAAACAAATCATTTGAGAACCAATGGATCTTAGACATGCATAATGATAATAGAAAACAAACCTTGGCTTAAAACAAACTAAGAACATACAGACTTTTCAAACAAGATTTAAAAATTAAAAATTACCTAATTAATATGCAGAACCATGGTCTTAGAAGGTTAATTGCAAAATTCAGGACAAGCAACCATGACCTTAAAATTGAGAAAGGCAGACATAATAATGTGCCGCTGGATAAAAGAACATGTGATATGTGCAGCCAAAATATAGTTGAGGATGAGCAACATTTTGTAATGAAATGTCCAGCTTACAGTCACCTTAGGGACAAATTATTCCTGACTGCACAAAATAAAGTTCCAAATTTTGATAAAGAAAATAGTCAGAATAAATTCATTTTGATTATGGCAAACCATACTCTAGCACCAGCCTTAGCTTAGCTGTATGGAACAAAACAGCAACAACTATCAGTGTATTAGGCTACATTTTGTGTTCATTCCATATTCTGTACTCACCATTGGCTGCAAATTGTCTTTATTGTTTTTTATTTTTTTTAGAAAAGTTTTTTATTTTTTGTTTTACTTTTTAGATTGTAGTTTGTTTTTGTTTTTTAATTTCTTTCTGTAAGACCCTTTTTATCCTTTCCTAAGGATTTTATGCGTCTAATAAAAAAAATATAAATATAAATATCGGATATATCCAAATGCGTTCACGCACGTGAGGATACAGCCGTTATACAAACATATTCAGTCTTTTTAACTACTGATTACTGGTACAGTAACTAGGAAGGTATACTTGTTACTTATACGTTATAAAACAATACCAAACAAATTCAGAAAGTGTAGATTGCAGAATAACAGGAGGTAGCACAGAGTCTCATCGTCAGTTCATTTTCCCTGAAAACAATATTTCTATATGTTCGCGTTGATTGTCACGTCGGAACTGGCATGCCGAAATGAATAGTTAGGAATAATAGTAAATATTCCAAATGAACATTGAATACAATGGCGTTTTGGTCACTTAGCCATAGCTATCCGTTGACGCACACTTCGTGTGTCTACACCGGGTCTTAGCATTTCTTAGCCCGTGCTCAGACTAGTAATTAATAGTCTAAATCTTCGAAATTCATTGTACAAGAGCTGAACCTACTTAAATCCTACTTGCAGTTAATTCTTCAACTTGATGTTTTATGTGTAGATTCAAACTATACTCAAGCATACCTCAACCATGACTCAGCATATTTCATTAAATCTCACGTAGTGTGCGGGCTTTGTTTTGTTTTTGCTAATTATTAATTTAATTACTTTTTGTCAACATCTAATCATAATGTTGTCAAATAGTCTAAGGCCCGTGCTA